CGTTACCTCAAAACCGCTATACCAAACGAGCTCATAGAATAGGTTAAAAAAACCTATTGATTAATTAATCAAACAAAGTAATTATCCAGCTTTCGCTGCATCATCAGTGTTTCCCAGCTAGCTGTTTTAGAGATTATGACATTCAAACCCCAATTTAATAATTCTTCCTTGTTTTATAAATTATCGATCGCTATTTTCTAATTAATTATGATTAATTATTGGGTTTTGCGTCAACTTCCCTTGTTCTTATTGTGAGGTATAAATATGAACGTGCCATGCAGTGCTGTTATTCAATTGACAAGTTGGATAAATGATGAATGTGATTGACTTAAAGGTGAGACATATATTTAAATAAATTAGTCAGCTAAATTCGATGATGTGAACTGAATAGTTTTATCTTGATCTTTTTACAAATTTTAAGATTCTTTTTATATTTGTTTATTTGTTTTGGACGAATTAATGATGTGGGTTAATTTTTTTTTTGTTTCATCAAAGTAGTTCATTTTCCAAATCTCCGGCATGTCCATTACTAAACTAAGAATTCAATCATCAATATTAAGAAACATATTTTTGGTCACATCAAAAACTACACAAGGACAAGAACTAAAAGTTTAATATATATTACGAATTAAGGTTTATATATTTGAATTACTCCAAACATATAAACCTGTCTATGATGTTGATTAACATTAAATATATATTTATTTATTTATTTATGATGTTGATATTTTGTGTTTTTTTTTTAACAATATATTATTGAAAGTGAATCTTACATTACATAAAAAGGAATTGAGTTTAAAGTACTTACTATTGTTGTCAATTAATTAAAAAATTCAATTTGTAAAAAAAAAAAACAAAAAACAAAATAAACCCTCCAATTGAATTGAATGAGATGAAAGGGCAAACCATAAATAAAAAATTTTAATCCATCTTGGATAAAAAAAGAAAAAGAAAAAAGAAGAGGTAGCATGTAAGCTTCCTACTCCAATTCCTAAGCTTAAGTCATCAAATTTTTTTATACATTGAAGAGTTAATTGTTAGTATTATAAAAATTTTAATTTTAAATCTTAATCTTAAATTAAAAATTTTAAATTAATGAACATCAAATCCACCAAATCTTTGATGATCTAAGGTTTTAGTCATCAACTAATTGGTCATTTGATTGAATTGTCTTTGATGTAGATGTAGATTTATGTATGGATGTGAACATAAAAATTGAGGCAAGCAATTAATAAACAAGAGGCTCCAGCACATACATTAATCTTTCCCGTTGGCAATTTACATATCTGGACCACCAACCTTTTCATATCTTAAACGCAATTATATTCTCAAAGAACCTTTCCTGTACATATCCATCAGGGATTTACAATTATGCAGTTGGTTCTGTACAAATTAATTATTTTATAATAATTAATAGAAAAAAAACCACTTAAATATAAAAAAAAAAATTACCCTTTTATTAAAGATTAAAAGATATCAATTAATTTTCTATGTCTACTAGTACCAAACCTGCAAAGTAGCTTATTGCAACGGGCAAAATAATAGAGATTGCATTTAAAGATTGAGATATCTTACCTACTCCACTCATAAACGACAATGGTAACGACGTGGAATTGTATTCGCCCAAGACTTCATTAATTAATTAGTGAAGAAATTAAGAATACAAAAATGGGGGCGACTTAAAATTAACTAAAATGTATTTTATAGAGTAAATTATACATTCAAAATATAATTTATTTTATAAATCTATTAAAATATTTTTATTAAAATTATTTTTTATATCAATTTATTAATATTATTTTAATAAATTTATAAAATAAATTATATTTTAATATGTAATCTAAACAATAAAATATGAATCCTTGAAATTAATTAACCAATGAGATCTATTTGTTTTTTGGTAATTATACGTTTCAAGTCTTCAAGAAATTATTTCAGACTTCAATTTTCTTTTGGTTTATAATATATAATGGATTTTTTAAAAGAGTGTAGAGTATAATAAATATATTTTTATCATGAATTTATATTTAAAAATAAAAATTAATTTTTAATTTATAAATCATTTAATTAAATTCATTCACTTAGTAATAATATTAAAATTAATATTAATTTTTACATTTATATATATTTATGATAAAAAAATACCCTTAATATCTATCTTAAAAATACATAACAAAAAATCTTATAATAATAACATGCATAATATAACATGCCTTACGCACATTTTAAAAAAAATATTTTTTTAATTACTTCTTCAAATTATTTTGGCACCGTTGCAAAATATAAAAGACCCATTTTCCTTTTATCTTTTTTAACCAATAATCTAGAAAAA